TCGCGGGTTTCCCAGCCGCAGCACGGAGGACGCCGTCCGTGGTGGCCCTGAGTGCGGGCACCGGCGCCGGGAGGGTGGCTGATGCCCGTGAGGAAACAGCCTTTTCTTTTACAAAGGTGCTGAGCACTTGCGTTTCCTCCTGACCTTGAAGGAGGAACTGCCCGTCCTGGCCACGTAAAAAACGGTGGGGAAGGGTGGAAAACCCTCCATTGCTTCCTTCTGAAGAATTAACTTTAGGTTAACCACGTGTATTATTTCATTATAATTATGTCTGCATAAGTGCTAAGTTTATCTGAACGTTACCTTGTGTCCTGTTCTTAAAATTCGATTTCTTCTGTCTTCCGGCTGTTGTTTTTTTTAGAGAAAGTAAGGAAGAAATAAACTTGTAGGCTGGTAACACTGCCTAAAAGTCCACATACCATAAGCAGGCCCCAAGTCTGCCCCAAATAGGTCTGCTGGAACAGTAATGGGAAGCAGTTCAACTCGTTAAGCTTCTTCCAAATGACAATACTAACAAGGGACATGATATGTTTACTACAGTTCAAAACTAGTAACAGTCTCAGTGTACGTGTTGGTATTCTGGCAGAAGAATACTTTGCCTAATGTAAGCTATTAAGAAAACCATATATGTAGTAGTGGAAAGAGCATTCTGTGAGCTTTGGGTGGGTTTTTGTGTTTGCATAAGCTGTTGTGATTACTGGGGAGTGGAGGAGGGTTTCCAAACTTAAACACATCAGCAGAACTTTTGTGACCGAGACAGTGATAGTGTCTCTGAAGTCCTAAATTTTGACTGTAGTATCTCAAGCGATGGATGCTGTACTTCCCAAAGAGCACTGGGAAGCTTGCTGCAAAGCAGAAAGCACCCTTTAAGGTTTAGGTGTCCTTAAATAATCTTTTGGTTTCTTGGCCTACAGGTGGATTCGAACCAGATTTGAAAGCTGCCTACAAGTCTTTTATGAAGTCATGTGAGAAAGGTGGGAAGAAGTCAGTAAATGCGTGTCACAGCGTTGGGCTGTTGGCCCATGATGGGAGAGTAAATGGTGATAAACCTGACCCCGTTGTTGCTAGAGACTATTACACAAAAGCCTGCGATGGCAATTTTGCTCCTAGCTGCTTCAACCTCAGTGTAATATACCTCCAAGGAGCACCTGGGGTGCCCAAGGACATGAACCATGCTTTGAAGTACTCGCTGAAAGGGTGTGAGCTGGGTCATCCGTGGGCTTGTGCCAATGCCAGTCGAATGTACAAACTGGGAGATGGCACTGAGAGGAATGATGCTAAGGCAGAGGATTTGAAAAACAGGGCAAAACAGTTGCATAAAGAGCAGAAAGAAGCCTCAACTTCTATAACGTTTGGGAAGTAAAATGGTCAGTTGCAGTTACACTGCAGTTTTAAATAGCAAGTGAACTTGTTAGTTAACTTGTGAGCATAGTTTTGACTTAAATAAATATCCTGTATTTGGATATGCAAATAAACTTGTATTTTTGTGGGTGCAACATAACTGTTGTGCCTTTCTGAGTTTCTGAATGCACAAGTTCTTAATTGCATCACTTAGATCCTTCCTCTTCTTTAAGGAAGCCAAAAACTTCTGGCCTTTTGGAAGGTTGTCCCCATGATTTCAAATACAAAAGGCAACTCTCTCATGTCTAGTGCTTCGGTATCAAGGGTTGTATTTGGACCAGTTTTAACACACAAAAATGACAGTTGCAACGTAATCCCAGCTTGGACAATCAGAACTGTGCTATCTCTTACAAGTAGTTGTGGAACTCGGACAGTGTGCACACTCGGGAGAGCTGCTCTAGGGCTGCTTTGTACCAGGATAGTTCGAGGAACTTGAGTGGCTTTATTTACTGAAAGTGAAATTTGTTATCCTCAGGCTGTATTTAAACTTGCTCATTTAGTTACTTTGTCTTCCTGCCATCGAAATGACACTTGTAACCAGGAGAGAAACTTGTAATAGGCAGCAATGATAATTTGATATCTTGCTGATGATTAAATTATATTTAATGTCACAATTTCATCTGAGAAGTTTTGGTTTCTCAGTTTGGTTTGTAAGGTTTATAGGCTGTTAGTACAATTATTCCATTAGTGCAAATGTTTAGTTGATTGTAAATCAGTGTTACGGAGTTATTGGATAATAATTGATTTCTAAATAATTAAGCATTCCATTGAAGCCAAGCCAAATTTTTATGTCCAAGTGCAAAATGCCATTGCTCACCAACTCAGTTGCAGGTGAACTCCCAAACATCCTGATGTGGGAAGCAGCACTCCTGTGTGAATAGTGGATTTATTTCTCCTCCAGGGAGCACACAGTAGTGAACATGGCAGCATGTTTTCTGCTACCTACAGCTTAAAAAATGCACAACATGCCAGACTGGCACAAAGAGCAGCTGGCTCTTTCTTCCTCCTCTTAGACTGTGGCTTAGAAGTAAAGGCCCAGAACTTACTAATACGTGCAGGAGTAATTCTGTTCAGTGCCGTGAGATGGCTCCTGTGTGAGAGCTGATGGCTTGATGTTTACAAGCACTTACAGATTCCTAAACACTCTAGATGTGTTCTGTTGAGGTACCCAAACCAAATGGTTGTTAAGTTCTCTCTTAGGTCTTTCACAGCTGTTCTTCAACATCTTTGTCACTGAAGCTTCACTGTACTGACAAAGCTTCAAACTGTCTTTAATTGATTCATGCAACTCTACTGTCACTCTTCAAGGCAGCATCAACAAAGCTCACAAGTGTCTTGGAGGGAAATACTTGTTTAAAAAAACTGACATATTTTAATATTTTTAGATCCAAAATGTAAATTTTACGTTTATAGTGGATTTTGGATAAGTAAAGGGAAAAATTTTTTACTGTGAGGGTGCTGAGGCACTGGAATGGGTTGCCCAAGGAAACTGTGAATGCTCCATCCCTGGCAGTGTTCAAGGCCAGGTTGGATGGAGTCCTGGGTGACATGGCTTAGTGTGTAGTGCCCCTGCCATAGGGAGGGGGGGTGGAACTAGATGATCTTAAGGTCCTTTCTGACACAAACCATTTTATGAGTCTATAAATCACCAAAGATGCAAACTGAGAGGAAGACGGGAAGATTAATCCAGTGTAGAAACAAACCCTCGTGCTGTATGATTTGTTTGTTTTGCATGTGACAACTCAAGAGAGACAAGTGAAAGAAGGTTCTTGCATATATTCTAATTCAAATGTATTTAACAGTATCAGCAGCCAGTTTTAAGATCATAGAACAGTTTGGGTTGGAAGGAACCTTGAAGACCATCCAGTTCCAACCCGCCCTGAGCTGCTTTCACATGATGTTTAAGTCTCACCACTTCACTTTAAAACCAAGCTTATTTTACTCTCTCTGGACACTTGTACTGTCCTTCACTTGTACTGCCAGCTTTTTTAGCTGCGAGAAGTTCACCTGGGCAGCAGGTTGTCCTGGACAGTGCCTCTTGCTGTCTGCAGTGATTCCAGGTCCAGGGGGGACATGCTTCTTTAGGCCCTGAAAGCATGAAGCTTAGATCTAGGAACATTTAAGTATTGTTCAGATGATGCCAGACCCAAAACAGCAATGAGCCTGTATGGCAATATGAACATAGAAATACCTTTGCCTATAGATCTTGCAAGTGAAATAGATGTGAGAGAAAAAGGCAGCAGAGAAAGGACCTTAATTAGCTCTGCTGGGCAGACGAGCTGTAGCAGGGGGGGAGACTTTAAGGGGCAGAGTTTAAGAGAGCTGCTCTGGCTTGTGGAGAAAATAAGAGAACTAGGAATTGGCCTAGATCTACTGAGTTACAGATGAGTATCTAAGGCCAGAGATTCCCTTTCAGACAAGGCATGCACACAGGTTTTAAATACCTTTAGCCCAAATGTTGTCTTTAGCATTGTGCCAACTCTGTGACTGCCCCGTGCTTCAGGATTGCTCTCCAATGCACAGTGATCACCCCTTATTCAATTACACACAAATTGTTTTACCTGGCTGCCAGCTCCTGTAACATTATGTTCTATTGTTTATAGTGCAGATTTAGGGAATGAGGTGCTAACTGATGAGATTTTGGGCTCAAATCCATAGCTTATATATGTACAAACGGTAACTAAACATATATATTCTCAAACAGGTGTCTAAATGAAGAGGGCAATATACGTAAATCTATTCATGCACTGACAAGATCCTTTTATCATTTTGGTGTGTAAAAATACCTGTGAAGTACTGCTGATTTACAACATGGATGCTCTGGCTGTGGTCTGGATAAAGATTAAAATTTACTATCGAAGTAAATTAAGTGGGATTAAAAACCCATGCTCATTTGGCTATTGCCACCATTGAACTGTCAGAATCTCGCTGCGTGCTGTCTCAGGCAGAGCATGTGTGAATTGAAGCAGTTCTTCCAACTTAGCCACACTTTCAACAGCCTGCTTGCAAAGGATACGCTTACTGCTGGAATAAAAACCCCAGCAGCACAGTGTAACGAGAGGTGGCAGTATATGAAAAACATTCTTGCATACAGGGGGTGTCAGGCCATTAGCTCTTGTTTTCAGCAGCCTGGAAAAAAAACAGCAGCGGTGACAAAAGCGAGGCTATTTCTGTTAACACAGTTAATACTTCGTGGCAGTTTGAGGAGGTGAAGCTCTTTTAGAGAAATACACTTTGCCTGATTCTTTGCTAGATCCTCTTCTGGGCATTTGTTTCACTTGGGGAAGGTACGTAAACACTGCCTCTGCAGTGTGACAGTCTAATAGTAAAGCAGTTTGGAAGCCGTGTGTTCAGAAGCCAACAGTTACAGGTGGCTCAAGGTGTCAAGATTTGGGTGACATTTGAAGCCCTGATCTTCTTTTTGATCTTGTAATGCTCCCTGCCTCCAAGTGGCTTGTTCAGTTCCTCAGTTCAAACCTGCCTTACCAGAGCTGGCTTTCTCCCACTGGGAGATCAGCGATCCCCCTGGGAACTTTCAGTCTACACAATGAGCACCTGGGAACATCCTCAATAGACATGATACACATTGCAGGTAGGTAAAGCCACAAAGGGCGTGTTGTGGGGAGTCTTCTTCATAGCACTTAAGAACTCAGAGACTTGCAGAGCTTAAATATTATAAAATGAACTATTGTCATTAAAGCTGCCGTGTGTTAGTGCAGGTAAGTTTCTGAAATGTCACCCAAGTTTGTGCCACCTGTTGAAAAGGCAAAGCCAAGTTAAGGAAGGCTCTTTTGTTACACTAAAACACCATCAAAACCAGTTTAAAGTGTTTTCAGGCTGTCTCTGAACAGTTTGCTGCCTGTTGCAGACACACCTGTATCTTTTTCACACTAGTATCAATGATGCTGTAACCAGTGCATTAGATGGGTAAGGCCCTCTCCTGACTATTTTCCCTCCAAATTGACAAAGCATCAAAAAAAAGAAGACCAGCTAGTCTCATTTCAGCATATTATAAATGATACGTGGTTAATGCAGTCTTTAGCTGAGACTATGGACTCTACTAATAGCAGTTGATTCTCAGCCTAGAGATTATGTTCAGGGGATGTAATCAAAATCCATTAAGAGGTGAACATTTTACTGCAGATCTTGGCTTAAAACCATCTTATTCTGATATCATGAGGGTATTACCAAAAGGCTGGTATCTTCCTGCTCTTTCTTTTACCTGATAAAGTAAAAAGTTAAAAGGCTAAATTTCCTCTTGGGAAGAAAATTGTTCCTCCAAAGCCTCTGAGGTCAGAAGGAAGAGTGAGTGATACACGATCATAATAGCCTACTTGAAAAAAATAGAAGACCTGTTGATCTCTTCAGGATCAGTGAACTGTCTAAGAAATAAAGGAGTTTATCTCAGCTTCACAGCTCCTAAACCACCGTGTGTTTTCTCTTTCATTTGTATTGATCTAAGCATACAGCCAACCTCCTTTAATAATGCAGCAGTACGCTTCAGAAGGCATGGTGCCCAACTCTAATTAATTAAATAGACTTAGGAATACATGGCTTTAAATGATGAAAGCATTCACTGCAGGATGCTTCCTGCAGCTGTGAAAAGATGGCCAGTGGAGTGCTGGTTTTGTACTGAGATGTAAAGAACACTGGCGCCACATCGTGTTGTGTCGTTAAGTATCATTTGGATTAATTCGGGACAAAAGATGCTGATGGGTCCTGAAGCCACATGACATAGAAACAGAAAACCAGACATGTTCTGGTGGTCCTGTTTCTGTTATACGGTAATAAAAGCAGTTTGCAGCTTGCTTACCTTTTATTCATCTGGCAGTAGCAACTCCTCTCTGCAAGGTACATGTGAAGGTAGTTCTGTAGCTGTACACGCACCCAGATGGACTGTCTGGGAGACTCTGTGTGTGTGATCACCACACCAAGAAAACAAAGTAGCGTTCCTTGCTACAG